GAAGCATTATGGTGTGAACAGGGATTTATTTCATTAGGATACCGCACCGACCTGCACATCTTTACACGGGGTTCTTTGACGGCTGTCCTGGTATCGAGATGAAGTCCTAGAAACCCATTGTGAGATTGTAAGCTGCAAGCAGTTGGCCCTACTTTTGTTTTGTCTGATAATGCACGTCCCTTATAGAGCTGACATTGTCGATGACTACCTGGAGAGTGAAGGGATAGCGCGTATGGCCTGGCCAGCATATTCGCCCGACCTTAATAATCCCATTGAAAATCTTTGGGATGCTCTCGGCCGTGTTGTATCTTCACGTTTTCCACTTCCAGCCACTCTTATTGAGCTGGAAACTGCTCTACAAGAAGAATGGCGATTGTTTAATTATGCGGTGGTTGACCACCTAAATGAAAGCATAGTCACAAGGTGTAAACTTTGTATACAGATGAGGGGGGGGATCACGTACCCTATTAATGTTTTTTTTTTTCATTTTATATCATTATTTGACAACTTACAAAAATTTAATATTGTTTTCATTTCTGTATATAATTATTGATTTTATTTCATGCATAAATATATATGCTACTTTCCTGCCAAACTGTGTGTCAATCAAAACAGTATTTGTTGATTTTTTTGCATTTTACATCTTTGTGCTTAACTTTTGAAAGTGAGTGTATATTTTTTCTAATTAATTATATAAAAAACAAAGTGAATTAAAATTTTTAATTATATAAGCCAAGTGTAACCTATGACTTTTCTTCTTCTTGAAGCTTGGATTCCCTTTGGCGCCTTATGCTCCAACTCAATATGACTTTTTCTCTTTTGACAAAAATTACCTAAAAAATTTTGAACACTCCGTTTCCTTTTTCCTCCAAACTTTTCCTTACAGCCGTTCAGTGCATTATCAATCATACAGTGAACTCCAATACTTCTTTCAAAATGCGGATCAATAATTTGTGTTTTTAACACTTCAACAGTGCAAAATATTTTGTATAATTGCCCCAAATTCATTTTACTTATGGCAAGATTTTTTTCATCAATAATTATCCAAGGGCTCTGAGTTAAGAGTTCTCTCTTCTCTACTGTTATGGGAATATTTTTGGCATATTTGTGTTAGTAAATCTTCTCTTGTGCTCCCTGCAACTTATTTCACACAGACATATGAGCAGACATTTCCAAGACATAGAACTTGGAAAATATCTGTTGTTCAGTTGTAATTGTAACATCTAGAGAAATAAAATCCAAATCGTATTAAAAGATATCCTCTCTCCCCCGCCAATATAGAACATGTTATACTTATAAACAAATCAATCTAAAAATCATTTTTAAAGGAACAGAATAATATATACATAGGATTTTCTGGCTTCAGTTTGAGTTGTTTATTTATTATGAACCTATGTACCCTAAAATCATTTATTCAGCTTGTGTTTTCTTCAGCGCATGAAAAGCATACGAAACTTCACATTATCGCATTTTCATTTCATCTTCATAAAATTACTGTTTTAAAATATTTTTTTTTAATTGGCAGACTATGTGTCCCATGTGACTGTGACTACATCACTGTTTAAGAGTGCCGCTCAACCGGGATAGTGGTTCACAACGTTGACTGCCATACTGAAGGGCCCAGGTTCAAATTCCGGAGAAAGCATGGATATTTGTAAATGTACAGTGTCTGTGCGGCATGGAGGTACTCTAAATGTGTGGTGAGCCGAAAGTCCTCTCGAGAGGTTGGTGGTAGGGGAAGAGAGCTGCTGGGTGTCAGCACATATTGAGATTCAGGACAATGAGCAAGCAGACGAATTAGTTAAACAAACTGGGAACAATATCTCACAACAGGAATACCCGATAAAAATAACTGTGTCTTACCTGAAAAAAAATCACATCTGTAAAACTCAAAAGAATGTGGCAGAACAGGTGACACCACAACAGGACGTAGACCATTTAAGTTTTGCCCAAAAGTTAACTTCAAGCTTAATACTCGCAACTGCTACATAACTCAATTTCTTATGGGGAACAGCCCTTTTCCGAGGTAATTTAAAAGATTTAACCTCCGTACCTCGGATAACTGCAGCTGCGGGGAAGTGGGAGATCCAGAATTTTTTTTTTTTTTTTCTGTTTCATTGCAGAAATACTTCTCGCCCTCATTTGGGAGAAAAAAAAAAGGGGGAAATAACTAGAACATGTTGACTGAAATTTTATTAGAAAATAAAACCACACTTAACAAACTATCCCAGACCATTAAGTATTTGTGCAGCATAATATGCGGGTTAAGACTAAACTTTTTCTACCTTACTTTTCTTCGTCAAATCTGTAACGTACATATCTAATTGGAAATTCTGTTGTAGCATCTTGCGGTCCTGAGGAAGTATTATTTTAATGTACCTATATAATATATTCTAAATAATGTTTACAGTACTGTGATTGTGTTACATTGTGATTGATGTTACAATACTGTAATAGTATCATTGTATTTTTGTTTCTCTAAACAAATACATCTAGTTTTATTTATTTGTAATCTTGCATTTCGTAGCTTCTTTGGGCATATTTATTTCTATGCAATCAGTAATATACATGTTGTATTAATTAGATTATATTGTGATATTTTTTTAGCTTATATTAATTTTTAAATTAAATAGAATGGTTATCCTCTGCAAGTCCTGTAGGTAAAATTGCTATTCTCTCTTCAACAATTATGCATATAGTAACAGTATATTGAATCTAGATACATTTTCGTACTAGATACATTAGTGTAGAAAATACTATAATATGCAAAATACATTTAATCAATCTTATCATTTTATATTTTGTTTCTCTAGCATCCAATATATATATATTAATATCGTATCTAGTTTATAACTAGTAAATAATTTGTACCATATTTAACTATTGGAGTCATAGCTTCCTTGTGTGCATTTATTTCTATGTAATCAATAGTATATTTTTTGTATTATGGGAAATATATTGTAATATTTCCAACTATATTATTTGTTTTAAAGAAAGTAGACATGTTATCTTCTACAAACCCTGCAGAGAGTTTATTATTCTCTATTCAATAATTATGTAGCCTCTAATGTATGTAGCTATAGTTTTATAATAAGTACATTTACTTTGGTCATTTGATTATATTGAATTTAATCGATTCTATTGTAACTATTTGTTTGTATAAAAGTGTGAATTTTGTATTTAATTCAGAACGGATGATAACAGTAACATGCTCTGTTAACCTTTTTATCTCTTGAAACTATTTAATAAAATGAATCTTCAGTAATATCCAACAAATAGAATTACAACTGTTAAGCTAAGTACGTCTTAATATACAGCTGAATTTAATATCCTAGCTTTGAAAATGTATAGTATTATATGTAAAACTGTATGTATACATGGCAATGTAACCTTCTGGAGAATTGTTAAAAATGCCATCCTGCCCGCTGGCTGTAACCACGCAAAAAGCATGCATCAGGAAGATAAAAATGTGCCTGTCTAATTTTGATCTTTGACAAAATTCACATGATTTCAGCCAGTGTTTGGTATGACACTTCATTTCGGGCCATACATAATGTGAACAAATGAGTTTTATAGTAGTTGCAATTTCTGGATGTGAAAAGATTATATAAATGATTAAAGATGAGTCTGCAAACGAATTTGGACAGAGATGTCACAAAGAACATCACCATCAGAACTTTGGCAAATTCTAGCTTCAATGAATGATGTATTGTTTTGGAGAAGGTTTTTTTTTTTTTTTTAATTCCAGATCATGTTGCTGAGCTATGTAAAATTCTTTAAAATCCAAAAATGGATATTTTGTTATAGAGTATCAATTTCTATTCTCGAAGTGTATCGACTATTGACATTTCTTAAATCCTGCGTATGCCTAATGTCATTGGTAAAATCTATATGGTTTAAGTGAAGTGAGCATTTGGAAAGAGACCTGCATAAAAGTGTACATTAATAGTTTATAATCTGCACAAACTTGAAAATCTAACTCCCTAACATATACGGAATTTGTTAATCATGGAATGAACAGAAAATACATCCGGCACATGCGGACCATTTCCTTTGACTTTCATAGTGAAAAGTGCCATAGGTATCCATGTTTTCTGAAATTATTGCATAACAGTGTCACTGACTGCAACATCTGAAGTATTTAACCACATAAGATGTTTTATTGATATATCCTAACAATTCTATTAAAGGAGAAATAATGTGTGCTGCTTTAGGTATAAAAACATCTGTACAAGTATTAAACATGCTTAAAAATTGATAAAATTAAGTAAGGGTTTGGTTGAGGGAAATCTAAAATATGAAGAGGTCAATTCTGTTTTCCGTAAGATGAAAATCTACGAAATCAAATGATATTTGACCAAAGGTGCATTTTAAAACATTTACGCAAGCTCTGCATACAATCTTTTAAATCTCACATGACAAAAAGTCTAAAAGTTGCAATTGCACTGCAAAAGCCAAATTGCATATGGGTACTCTCAAATGAACCAAATGGCCTCCATACAGCCATCCTATGAATATCATCAGGGTTGATTTGATAGTACACCCTAATAACATGAACATACCTAAAAATTTTAGAACCATGTAATACAGTATTAATATCAGCTACTCCAATGGTTTTCTCTAAGTTCAGAAACAAGCTGCAACATCTATACCACAACTCTACTCCCATAAACTCTGTTGTGTGTCTGGTGGAATATTTCAGGCATAGTTACTTTTGAGATATTGAAACCTGTTTAGACTACCACTGAAGACTTCTAGCGTCAACAGCTTGAATCAAATTCTTTTAGCTATATATCCTACGCTAGCAACAGAATAGGTACTATCCTACACTAAGACAATGCAAAGTTTTAGACATTTTTATGAGTTATTTTCCAAGCTGCCAGAGTTGATAGCCACAAGGTGATGAAAGAAAAAAAAAAAAAATTTTTTTTAAATGATTTACAAGTTGGCATCAGGGACATATTATTCAGTATGGTGAATTTCTAAAGTGAAAAGCAGTATTAAAAGCTTTTAAACATTTATTTGAATGAAATCAATACAAATTCAAACAATTACATTATTTTAAAACCTTGCATATGTACATGGGATTCAGATGAAAATATCATGAGAACAGTATGGATGCTAGATTCATTCATTTTGCACTAACTCTCCATAATAAGCTGTTATAGTTTTAACTTTCTTGTTCAAAACATTTTGCTCTATCTCAACATTATTGCCATCTCCAGCTAATCGAGCCAACTAAAAAATAAAATCTTATATTTAAACAAATAATAATACACAAGTGAAAATAAAAATATATGAGCACAGGTTTTTATAAAACAAATGAACATGCAAAAACATAAAAACAGACATGCCAAAAATTCAAAATCTTCAATTGCATTAAAATTACAATTGAAATATTTAAAATATATATTTTTAACCATCTGACTGGCAAGGGGTTTCACTAAGACAGCTCAAATTTCCAAAAACTGCCACGAGAAATTGGTTTTTTCTTGATTTCAATGCCAAAATGTTCCTGGTAGGTTATACCTGGATTTATGCATTTTTAACTCACTGTCTTAATTTCTTGAACATATACATACACTCTCACAGACATCACAAAAAATATTCTAGGGTGTATATATTATGGCTTTGCCAGTCAAAGGGTTGAACCCTTTTTGACACATTAAAATAATAAAATATTATGCATTTTTAACACACTGTCTTAATTTCTTGGACATATACATACGCTCTCACAGAGATCACAAAAAATATTCTAGGGTGTATATATTATGGATTTGCCAGTCAAAGGGTTGAACCCTTTCTGACACATGAAAATAATAAAACATTATACAATAAATATACAATGTATTATTTAGATAAAAATACATGAAAAAATATGATTCATGTTTCATTAAATCCCAAGATTATAAAATAGTAACTACATTAACAGTTTCTTTTTGATATGTTGTCATCATTAATTCAAGTATCATAATGATGCACTGGATGGGGGGGGGAGAACTGAGCTTATAAGCTTTTGGAGAAAGGGGGTTAATAGTTTAGAATTAGTAATAATTTTTTTAATTTAAGTAATGAATAAACAATAAAGATAAAACATAATACATTTCTTAAAATAATCACCCTTTTGCAAAATCATATAGATTTAGTTGTGCCTGTCACAAGCTCTGAATAAATAAATGATCTTTCCGAAAAATTACAATTAAACCTATTTTTAAAACCTAGTATGATCGGTACATAAATTTCAATGCAATTACCAATAAGTATTTAAATCAAAATAATAAAATGCTTTGGTAACATACTCATTGATGTATGCCTACATTTATTCATTATAACAGTCTTCAGACAAAATCTTTATTCTACACTGCTGACCATTAAAATTATAATCATCTGATGAGTAAAAATCACATGAAAGGAAGAAGAGTTTGGGATATGCAAATGACTAGTATTTCAATGCATTTAGATGATGCAGAAGGGAGAAATGACATGTAAAAAATTGCATAAAAGAAGAGTTGTGTAGTGGATTTCTCATTCGGACAGTGCTTTAGAAGGTCAGAGTTTGCTCAGAATATTGTGTTATACCTTGAATAAGAAGAAACGCTTACCAGCAAATGTCAGAATTCGAAAGAGGCAGGATCATTGCCTATCAAGTGTGTGGATATCGCTCGTTGCACTGGTTGACATCCAGTCACTGTCACGCGAATATGGAACCAGTGGGTTGCTAAGGGTGATCATGTTGAACTGCACAAAGGATCTCAGTGCCCTCCCGTGACTATCACTAGAGAAGACATATTGTGAGGTTAGCCCTGAAAAACCGTGCAACCACATAATGGACCATTAGTCAGGAAATGGGCATCTTTACAGCTCGCTGAGTATCCATTCATTAGGTTGCCCGTTGCACTGGTCGACATTTGCAGAAGCATGGATTATCAGCAGACCGACAATTACTTCGGCTTCCCTTAACAATGCAGCATAGAGAGAGACAGCGACTCTGGTGGACCAAATTGACATAGCTGGATACAGGAGTGGCACAATGTCATCTTTACAAATGAGTCCCAGTTCTGCGTGAAGTATTCTAATTGCTGTATATGTGTCTGGAGACTCTGAGGAGATAGCACATCGTCTGCTTGTATTCGATATCAGCACAGCAACCCTGCACCTCATGTGATGGTTTGGGCAGCCATTCGGTACATGACACACACATCTCTAGTCCAGATCAATGGTAATTTGAAAACAGATCGGTACATTTCTGACATCTTACATCCAGTGGTTGCCCTATCTTCGAGGCCTGCCAAACACCATCTTCCAAAAAGATAATGCAAGACCACATGTTGCACGTCTTATTCTGATCTTACTTGATCCACAGGGTATTCATTTGCTGCCCTGGCCAGCACAGTCTCCAAATCTGTCTTCCATTGAAAACATCTGGCCATGGGTTGCTCAGAGACTGACCCGCCATTCCTCTCCAGCTAATATGGTTGATGAAGTGTGGCATAAATTTGAAGCAGCATGGAATGAGTTGCCTGTTTCTGCCATCAAAGCTCAGTTCGACTCCATGCCTAACCGGGTTAAGGTCTGTTTTAGCTGGGGTGGTAGCTGTTTCTACTGATCTCACACCCCTGTAAACTCCAAAACTGCTTACAAATTTAATCATTTTGTCTTTATGCCATACTGTTTACATACAATAAATATATTTTTTGTATTTGCTTTCCTTCATGGTGTTGCAATTTTAATGGACAGCAGTGTATTAATAAATGCAGCATTATTTCAATTAAAATTTCTTGCAAATTGACCATATACAAAGCAAATTATAAGCCATTTACATTATGTACTTAAAAGTATTTTGCGTCTTCACTACTTCTTGAAATACACTTCAAATTTGAAAAACATTTTGCATTCATTTTAAGTCTTTTGCTTCCTTGACAATAAAAGCAATGCAAGCAGAATTTAGAACATGCAATCAAACTGATTTATTTGCACAATTTTTTTTAATGCCGCTCATAATAAGTATGTGGAAATTTAAACTTTTTTATACATATAAATTCATAATTTTTCATCAAATACAATTTCTCTTGGAAAAACTGACTACTGATTATACAAAACATTTGTCTCAGAAATTTTCTCACGTTTTTATCCCAGACATGTTTGTATATTCAATTACAAGGTTTTAAAAATAAGATGCACTATTTTACAGAAACAGTTTCAACATCGCAAAAGGATACCTAGTAGAAAAAATAACTTTCATGTGCAAAAATTCCAATTAGCAAATAATCCTTATATTTGAATTAATTCACATCTTTATGTGCAAAACTTATTAAGATACAATGCAAACTTTTGACTCCCCCCCCCAAAAAAAACTGTTGTTTATAAACCCCTTCAGATCTGAGTTATCGTCCATTCTGAATTGAACTTTTTTATGTTAGTAAGTGTGTAAGGCTTCCCACTTACTTTAAAATACAGACTGATCGAATAAATTTGCAGACACATACCAAACAATAAGACAACAGCACACAGTAAAGAATATTTCCACCACAATGAAGGCCTCTTTAGCAGTCATAAAACTGAAAGTGTGGTAAAATGATTGCAATGATAGCTCAGTGTTACAGTGGAATGTCTACATGAAAAATTACTACATTTATTACACTGAAAATGATGCACAACAGCTATTATATACCAGCATATTGAAATAAGACAACAACAAAACACTGACAAAAACAGAATAGTTACTCAAAGAAGAATACAGAAGATTATGTTGCATGAAATATTGCAAATCACATCAATGCTCTCTGCCTAAGAGGAAAGATGTTTTTATGAAAGACTTTCAATAAAAAATAGCTTGTTTTTATATTACACCTGTGGAAAACCATTAAAAACACCTATGCAGTCAACTAGTTCATCTGGGTTTGAATTACCAGTATTTAGCAGTTTTAACTACTCGGTCACTGATGGCATCTGAGAAACACAAAAGAGAATATACTTATCATAATAATAATAAAAAAATATTTTAATTTAAAATAGGAGGGGGCAATACACCTTTCTTACAAAAATTATTCAATATTTATGTGCAAAATTAGCTTCAAGGTAAAATGCTACATACCTGATTAACGATTGTGTTCCTTGGCACAAAAAGGGCAACATTTTTAGTAATCTTCTGAGCTGCTTCTATAGTTTTATATGTATGAAAAGTCAAGGAAAAGTAAACAAATATATAATGAGAAAATTTCTAAGTTTTATGATTGAAGATATTTTTATCTAACATATCGTTTAAAAATTTATTAATGGCAGTTTTAAGGATTTCAGATATTCTATTTTTAAATTTCACCCATTTCCTGTTCTTTCTTTCTAATGACCTAACAGCTGGCCAACAAACAGGAATTAAAAAAATTAAAGTAATTAATTACCTACACCCGTACTTCACTTTTGTAATATCATCTTAGAATTAGATAGATCTGTAAGTGGGATGTATTATTATTAAACATAAACTAACATTTAACTTAATTATAAAATAAATTCAAGAATAAAATCAAATTCATAAAAATTTTCAGGCAATTAGCATTAAACTATAAAATGTCTTGAAACTTTTATATCTTACACTTATAACAGTCACACATATTGTAAAGAAGATCAGTGACTTCTTTTTTTCACATACCATTATAAGTTTTACTAACAATAAGTTTAAAACTAATTCTTTCTTTTACGCCTCATTTTGTCATGCACATTATTTAGTTCAGAGGATTTATGCAGATTATATGTCAAAGGCATAGGTTAAACAGAGAAGTAAAATAACAATCAGCAGGATTTGCATCAGAAGCTTGGTTCTTGCCACTGCAACTGCTTGCTTAGAGAGAAAGCTGATGATCAGAAAAGAATAGAATGTCTGACAATGGCAAGTGCTGAAAGTTAGTTGCACTTTGTCTGCCTGACCCAGTTAGTGTTGTAGCAATTAACATACAGAATTTAATATCCAATAAACTACTGAAGCACCAAAAGTGATAAGTTGTTATCTATTGAATAGGTTTGTAAGAAACAAAATTTTATGTTATTTTTTACATTTTTGTGTTCTATCTTGCACCTACTGTAAAGATTACGGAAGGTGATCACTCACCTTAACACAAAAAGATAATGCCTAAGAGTGAGCAGTTAGTTATACAAAATTATATTATGTCAGTAGATAACCTGTAGTCATTATAGATGTACATGGTTACTATTACATTTTATTACTTTTAAAAAATATCCCTTTAAAAGCACTATTAAACCCACAATACAAGAACATGTTACAGTAGTTATAATTCATGATATTGGTTTTAAAATATTAGGAAAATCACATATTATCAGCTATAAAACATGCATGTTTTGTAGCAACAATACATAATAAAATACTTTTTATCTTTTTTAATTTGAAAATTTCCAAATATTTTTGTTACTTTACATAAATTTCCTTCTCTTAATTTTTTTTTAATTAAAGTTTATTTGGTTCAATAAGCAAATTAATGTTTCTACTATTCTCTGCTTCATCTCCTAATCTGTTAATGTTTTAGCAATACCTTTAATGATCAGTTGTCTTCTGCTTCATGTAATCAATTTTTCCTTCAATACGTTTCCTCTTCATTTCAGAATTTTCAGATTAAAGTAAAGATTTCTGTTACTATTTAATTAAAGAAATGCTTGTATTTAGAATGTATAGATGAAGCTGATAATTTTGTTTCTTTATTTAGAATAAATACAAAATGATACAAGGTCAGGGTCAGCAGAGCCTATTGAAAAAATATATGAAATGGTATAAGGTCAGGGACACAGCCATCATAGTATATCATAAGAGCAATTATGGCAGAATTTTTATAGCACCAAGTGAAGTGACCAAGTGAAGCACCAAGCAACAAAATCTAGGGGTGGAAAAATTTTTAGAATTTATGACAGGCACTGGACAACAGAATTTAGGACACCCAGAGACTACACCAGGTGACAAAATGGTTAGTGCTAGCTCTGTATATGGTGCACTAAGACATATAACATGAATCTTTTAAACTGTCAGTTTTCAGTTTCTTTATTAACAGAAAATTTTCCTTTCTACAGATACCAACCCATGTGACAAGATTAGAACAATTTTTGCAATTTTCTATGCTTTAGTGAAGAGAGACTTCTAGGGTTAAATGCAAAATAAAAATCAAATAATTTTGCTTTCATTAGATTTCTACAAATTGTGTAAAGGTTAAGAAATGCATCGCATAAAACTTGTCATTATGTGCTAGTATCATGAAGACACTTTTAATTTTGTCACATTTGTTTAGAATTGTAAGTCTATAAATCTTGCCTTAAAATCCTTCTAAATTTACTAAAGTGCAAGGTCTAAAATTTGAAAGAAAAGTTATACCTACCAACTTTGTAAGAACAAAAAGCCAAAAAAAAATTTCCAAAAAGAAAAACATAAAGTGAATTTTCAAAAGAAGCATATACTAATACATATTTGAATATTCTGATACGATTACAAGGGGAAAAAAATATGAAAGACGATAAATGAAATTAATTTAAAAATAATTACAGCAGCTTTTTTTGCTTTTTCTAAAAATTATTTCGAAAACTGAGCTCTACAGCATTCATCATCTTGTTTATTTTTCAGAATAAAAATATTCATAAGCAATAGAAATGGAAAGCAATGTCACTAATATAATTTTAATAAATTATCATTTTTATTATGTATCAATGTCATTATGATGGTTAAAAAAATCGTCAAAAGATTTGCTAATGACTGAATAAAAAATTGTGTGTGCAAACTGATCCTTGAAACCGACAAAATGTTGATAAGTCACCAAATTTAATGCTGCAAAAAAAAAAAAAAAAAAAAAAAAAAAAACTTATATCCTAAAAAGGGGAAAAGTTGTTTTTTATTGTAATATTTTATGAACTCTTCATTAGGAAGGGGGGGGGAATTTTCAATACATTTTTGTTTCAGTTTACGCAGGGCTTAGTGTCCAAAAAATCGAGTATTCACCATTTAAATTAAATAGGAAAAAATTCAAAAGGTGACCCATCAAATATAAGTTCTTCAATGAATCGACAGAAAATATTGCACTAAAATGTTAATTTACACTCAAAATGGCAGTCGGGAGGAGAAAAAAAAAAGAACTGTTAGATGAGTAAAGTCGAGAACCTTTTGCCAATTTTGGCTGAAATTAAGCATTTCAAAAAAAAAAAAAAAAAAAAAAAAAAAAAAAAAAAAAAAAACCTAAGGACTTATAAGGACTGTATGAATCCTGAACAAAATATTAAAAATAAAATAAAATATACTTTGTAATGTATGGGAAACAATTTCTTTGCCGTTCTCAGTGCTAGACGTATTAATCCATACACAAGGAAAATTGCTACAGGTGAAGTGGCAGCCTTATGTTCTGGGATTATTTTTCCTGGGATGTCCCGCATACCATTCATTATAAGTAGAATTGTGAACAATGAGGTGTATTTGCATATCTTAGAGAACACAATGTTACCATGGGCAAGAGAACATGCCACTGAAGTAGTACTATCCACAAGATAGCTATCAGAAGTATTCAGAAAACTGGTAATAGGGCTGTTTCGAATGAAAAGGCTTGATGTTCTGCATGACCCTCTAAGTCACTGGACCTAAACCCAATTGAGAACTTATACAATAAACTAAAAAATAGAGATGAAGGCTATCACCCACCAAACTTGAAGGAACTTTGGAAAACTGTGCAAGATGCATAGATTTCTATTTCTGCTGAAAGATATGCAACAATCATAGTTGATTTTGCTAAACAGAATTAGTGCAGTCATTAAAAACAAAGGTTTTGCAACAAAATAAAGAAGTTTAAAATGTTTGTAACAAAGAAATCTCTTTATTCTCAATAATCAAGTACTTTTATTTTATTTATTTTTTGGGTTAAATGAATTTTTAAGATAGTTCAGAGAAAAATATTATGATATGATTACAGTTCAATAATCAAATAGAATATTTACAGAATCAATCAACTTTAAGAACAGTTTCCTAACAATACACTGTGAATTAAAAAAGTTAAACAGACATTACTCATAAATGTGCAGAAAAGCAAAAGATGTTTCTTTCCTTTCTTCCCCCTTTTCTTTAATGGAAAACCCCTTGGTATTCCTATTAAAGAATGTAATTTGTAATAATCTGGTAGCATGCCTTACTTGTTGCTCAAACAACTGACGATATATATGTAGTAAACATAATGCATACTTTCAACATTTATTCATAAATCATTGAATTTTTTTTTAAAAAGGGATTTTAAACTATGCAAAACTGTTGCTATGATGGCAAGTTTTTTAAAATATGCTTTATATAAATTATTTGAAGGCTGTAATTTGTTCCCATTGCCTTTTATAAACAATACATTTAAAAAACTTATGTTATAATAAAATTGAATTTAAGATAATATTATATGCCAGAAGGTAATGATACAATTCTGAATCTTTTATTAATTAACTGAAGGTATTACCAAATGCTAGCAAGTCTGATTCAATTGGGGGGGGGGTGAAAAATAAGTAAAATATTTTTTCACAGATATTACAGAAATTTTACAAAACAGTAAGTCTCATTGAACAGTCAACTCCTGTTCAATGAGAAATTACTGCTAATTAATGTATTGTTTAAAATAAGGAATTATATATCAAATTAATGATTCACATAAGAAGTAAAATTATTACAATTAAGGAATAATGGAGATGGAAAACATATATGTCTAAATTATAGTATTTTATTATTAAATGGTAGACATTTTTTAATCATTACAGATTTTTATTTAGACTTAATGTTACAGAAAATCAGAGAAAAACCTTGTAATTAATTATTTCCAGCTACTAAAATTCCCTGAGAAAAATTACTTGATAGAGAGAAATGGAATATCGTAAGCAGACCAATGCCTGAAACAGCTGTTACAACAGCTTATATTTTTACATATATGCTGAATAATTAATGCTTTGCAAAAAATTTCTTTTTTAAAATTATCTGTTAAAATAATGGTAAAAGGTGAAATAGATGCACTACTGTTATAATAAAATACAATTTCCAGAGATAAAGTATTTTGCAAAAGAACTTTAAGATTCTTTGAAAATTATGTAGTTCGAAGTGTGTATGTATACTGCTTGCAAATTTGGTGATAAAGGTTAAAAAAAATTAACAGATATTATAATTTAGAGTAAATATGAAAAAGTAGCACAAAAAATCCTACTTCAGTTAAAAACTAAAAAAATTAAAAGGATATATATCAGGCTCAATTCTGGAAATGTCATATTCTTGTTCATTTAAATATTCAGGGCCACCCCATGGTGGACTAAGGAATACAACATCAGCTTTCAAAGATGGTGCAATGCTGAAGAAATCTCCAACAATGAAATCAATATATTGATCAACTCCATAAACTTTAGCATTGTTCTTTGCCATCTCAACTTTCTTTGGATCGATATCAATGGCTATAACTGAAAAACATAATAGATATTCCCATATTAGTACACAATAGAATTCACACACACATAAAATATTATATACACATATAAAATTTAATTCTTATTTGCAATAGCCCCTAAATTCTACTTTTTAATTTAATTATTTCTCCTTTCCATCTTAAAAAATGATAAAATGCTTATGTCAAAAGTCTTTTTTAAAAGTATCATTCCAGAATTTAATGCTCTCATATGGTTTTTATAAAATACAAGTAACTCACATATTTACATAACAGCAAAAATTAATGTAAAATCATTTATCTAATGGCATTCAAATCAAAATTTTTAATTGATAATAACAAAGTAATACTAAACTGAAAGATAAAGCAACTTCATTTCTTAATCTACCACAGTAAGATAACCTTCCAATTAAAGAAATTTTTTTTGAAGTGTTTGTTTTTGTCTGACAAACAAATAATCTGCCAGCTGTAAAAATTGAAATAAGTACCTGTTTTGCTTTTTGGGCTAATCATTGTGATTCTTGTATGATCCTGATTTAATATGCTTTCTATAACAATTGGTCTGATAGAATGAAACACTTAAAAGGGGATTTGGATAGCATTATTTCTTGTTTGTAAAAAAGTGCCAGCTGTAAAAAATGAAATAAATACCTGTTTTGCCTTTTGGGCTAATCAATGTATGATCATGCCTAATATGCTTTCTATAACAATTGTTCTGATAGGATGAAACATAAAAAGGGATTTGGATCGCATTATCTTTTGTTGGGAAAAAATTGTCTCTTCAACACGATTCAAATCAAATCACTCTTCTTAAATACCTTTGCCATAACTATATTAGGAAGGGGGCCATAGAATGAATCTATCTGCAGATGTTTGGCTCTTGTATGATCATAAAAATAATTTATTTCAGTTGAATAAATGCTTCCAAAGATGCTGTGTTAGTGTGTCATTTCAATCAATTCAATATCTTTATTACAGTGTTTACACACATCAGAAATCATTTCTATCAAGTGATTCAATAGATCTAAATGGATCAATAATCAGTGCAACAGACACTGAATGATGTGTTTATTTATGCTCTAAAGTTTGCTTTTGCAGTTTTAAGTTGCGAAGTATACTCAGGGTACAGAACTCATCGAGTACTTCATTTTGATATAAAAACCTTACATGATGGAAATATTGAACTTTAAAAGATTAGTGGATTTAATAGTATCAACAGTGTACTACAATACATAATCCAGGTATAACTTTTGAATATCTTAGACATATTAATTTTGATAAATTTTTTGAACGAATTTTATGAAAACAGCTTTATTTTATGATATATGAATGTAGTAAAACTATATCTCCAGAACAGTATTAATTTTAAAACTTTCAAACTTTCAGCCACTATTATTTTATTGTCAAGCAAATAGTTTTTATATATTAGCACATTAATACATTGTCAGGTTCAGCAAATTACTCATTTCTAATAGCTAAATATATATATAATATATAATATTTTTCATTAATTGCAAACTAAATAAATAAGAATTTTAATTGCATACCAATATAAAGGCACAAAAAAACTTAAAACAGATTAATACCTCAAAAGACTTCCTTTCACAAGCAACCAAACGTATGGATTATTTAAATGCTTATTTAACAGAAGAAAGCATTTCTAAAGACTGTGATATTAAAATACATCACTTGCTCACTCATCTTCTCAATTTAATGGCTGAACAATACCTACAAATGGCTACTTTAGAAGAAAAGGCCAAACTTTCTAAAAACGTAGATGAGAAACTTCTAAATATAGCTCAGATGAGTAAGAAAGAGACTTATGCTGAAAAGGTAGCAAAACCAGTGTAAAAAGGAGCTAGATCCAAATCTATATTTTCTCATACTGTATAAAAGGTGAAGAAGAACATTTAGTTCTAGTTTACCCAAAGAATCAAAAATAAACTTTAGAAAACGTGAAAAATCACTTAGTTCAAAATATTGATCCGATGAAAATAAAAGGCAGTATTATGAGAGTAAGGAAAATGAAAAAGAGTGGAGTACTAATAAAAGTGGCCCGAAAGGGGATGATATGACACTTATTGAACAGGCAATTCAAGAAAATGAAAAGTTTGAGGAAACTGTGAAGGTTAAAAGGCATGCAAAAATTAATCCCAAAATTATAATATACAGTACAAAGTCTCTAATCCCGACGTCCACTATCCGGAATGATCTATAATCCTGACCTCAAAGCCACAAGTTTTTTTTTTTTTTTTTTTTAGATTTATGTATGCGTGTTTAATGTTTACGCATGCGTGTTTAGCACAAAAAATGAAGCAACTTAAACAACTTACATTGAAAGAAATGTTTAATATAGTAAACAAATAAATATTAAGCTTTTTTTTTTTTTGTAAATTTTGATACCCTTTAGATCATAATTGCTCTTTATTTCGTAAATTACAGTTTCATATTTTTAATTGCATAATTTCTGCATGCCATCTTATCAGATTTAAATTTATGATCTATAATCCGGAAAAACCCTTAATCCGGAATCACCGAAGTCCCGACAAGTGAGGATTACGGACTTTGTACTGTATAATGTAAATGAAGAACTTGTAAAACAGGTTTGTAGAACTTATAGATACTATACAGACACAAAATGATGTATATGGATTCTGTGTTGGATGTAAAATTTTCAATAAATGGAAAACTTGGTAATAGCTGCGTGCAGAGGGTAGATTCTGATTCTTTCAAACTTATGGTTCAGAATCAACATGTAAATCACAAATGCAGAAGGAATACAGTATGAGAATTCCTTAGAGTGACTCAGTATCAAATGCATCAATTACAGGCATACTAAAAAATATTCCAATGTTGAGTAAAGATGCTCTAAATGTGGAGACACCGGACACAGTGAGTACACTGTCCAACTGTGGAATCTTGTTGTATCAATTGTAAACAAGAAAATTAAAAGAAATCTCAGAACTATTTATGATGCTAAAGCCAAATAGTGTGGTTGTCTAAAATGAGAATTAGAATTATATGAAAGAAAAATAAATTATGGACAAATTCTGTATTGCTTAGTTGAATGTACAGAACAGCAATAGTGTGTGTCCACAATTTAGTGCAAATTTAGTGCAAATTTAGATTTAGAAAAATCCCTAATACCGGCTTGTATTCAAGAACCATATAGTATATATAAAGGGAAACTTTCAGGTTTCCCACTCAAATACAGACAGTACAAAAAAAGACTAAACCAAAAGCAGCAAAAAGTATATACTCCCGGTCTCTTGGTTTTGTACTATTGTACAGAGCACATTGTTGCCGTTCCAATAGCAGGACCCAATCCATTTATAGTCTGCTCTGTTCAGCAGCAGTCTTATAGCAGTCTATTATAATTCTGCAGAGTAATTAACAGAGAATGAAACTGTGTTGGACTGATTGTATACCTTTAAGAGAAAGTCTATTTACTAACTTTCAATACACAGAAGATTTAAATACAGAAAATAAAAAAAATAAAAAATAATAATAATTATACAGACTACAGAGGAGCTACATAATCTGTATAATAATACAAAAATTACAAATAAAATTGCCAAAACCCTTTTTTTAGTTCCATCCCTGGTAAATAAAAGAATAAACTATTCAAAGGAAAAGTTAAGGGCATTGAGAAGTAGATATCAGAGTGAGATTTGGAACAAGTTGGACAGAGACTACTATGCATCATTTACAGAAAAGAGGAAGCCCTTTATAAATGCATAAAAGTAAGCCAAGGTTAATTCTTGGAATAATTTTTGAGAAAATCTTTCTCCTAAGTTGGCATTTCGAACTTATTACAACTTGGCAAAAGGAAAAAGCATATCTCCTTTGCAACTTTATTAAATAAAGAAGGTGGTTCATATATAATGAATATCCAAGAAACAGTAGAATACATTATTTCCTATCCCTTTCCTCAGCAGATATTATAGAACAGATTCGATTAGAGAAAGAGTTGAGTCTACTAATAGAAATCAAAATGATCTCTACTTTACACATAATGAGAATAAAGATATCTTCAAATAAAGGTGGAACACCAGGTATCGATGGAATTACTTTAGAATTAGTTGAAGAACTTTATTTGGTAAATAGCAAACTTTTCTTACATACCATGAACTCTTGCCACAAATTAAGTTATTTTCCAGAGTCATGAAAAGTTGCTAATTTAGTGCTATTTCCCCAAAAAGCAAAAGCTAAAACAGATCCCAGTGCCTACCAACCAATCTGCTTTCTTTCTACCTGAGGAAAGGCTTCAGATAAACTACTAGCACAAAGACTCACATACTTCCTATTGAATAATAAACTATTACATCAGTAATTAAGACACAATAACACGCCGAATAAATACTAATTCAGAAGTCAAACAACAAAAATCAGCGTTAATTTACAAAATTTTCACAGGACTAATTTCGATGGTTTTACCGAACCATCATCTTCAGCTGCAAAACCGCAAATGAACAAGATAGGAAATAATGTTTAGATAAGATAAGAAAGCCTGGACAAGAATAAGCAAGTGGCGCCATCTGTTGGCGAAACCAGAACTAAAACATAATTTCTCAAAAAGCCGAAGGTAAATTTGGATTGGAATTAGGATCGTTAACTAGAACAGAAAGATTTTTATGAATGTGAAATGCCTCTAGAAAATCCAGTTCTCCAATGGAAGATGTTTTTTGAATAATTTTGGCAGCAGAAAAATTGAAAGTGTGATTTTCGGACCAACAATCTTGCGCATCAGAAGACTTCTGTGTTTCCTTTTTTCTAACATATGCCTCATGTTCCTTGACGCGAAATTTTAAGGCTCTCTTAGTTTGGCCAATGTAAATTAAACCGCACTGGCAAGGAATCTTATAAATACCCCAGGAATTCATATCCGGAATGGGGTCCTTGAGTATAGAAGTTGGAATTTTATTGATGGGAGAGTAAACAACCCGAAAGTTAAATTTCTGCAAAATATGTGCAACTTTATAACTAATTGATGGAAAGAAGGGAATGACAACAGAA